TTTTTTTAAATGGAACACCCTGTATGTTTTTCTATATTCTGAGACAATTTTATTCTCTTTCGAACGGTATCAGGGTTTCCTTACCTATCTCTTCTAGTTTTTAAGTTATCTACTATTTTTTGTGTAATCAACTAAAATCATGTAATTTATTGCGAGGATAGCTGTGGAATTTTTAGCAAAATTTCAAAACAAACAACTAAACTGTCAATTTGTTGTTAGTCTCTTGCAGTGACAGTTTAATTTAGTGTTTATAAGAAATGGAAAAGAATACATATTCAAATGCTGATATTTTAAATTTATTATTCATTCACGGACGTTGTAATGGGATTATAAGCAGAACGTGTACAGTTTTTAATGAGACATATCCAAATTTGCCACCAATGAGCAGAAAAGTTAAGAAGAATTTTAGCAAATCAACTAGAGTACGGTCGAGTTTGTGCAGAAAGAATTTTACCAAAACCAATAACTTCCAATGAAGATAATGTAATAAATGTGCTAGCCTATTTTAATGTTCATCCAGAATCCTCAACTGAGAATATGATTTAGGCATTTCACGAGCGTCCATTCACAGGATGCTAGAACTAATGATATGCATCCATACAAATTTAAGCTACTTCCTGCTCTTTATCCGGGTGACGCCGTGTGACGTGTACAATTTTGTGAAACGATGTTAGTGCGATACCAAGATGATCCACAATTTTTGCAACATATGGACAGACGAGTCTAAATTTACGAGAGAAGGTATTTTTAATAGACATAATAGCTCTGTTCGCGGAGCCTGTCAAATTAATCCGGAATCAGTCAGAAGCAATCGTTTAGCTACTTCTTTTATGCTATGCTTGTAGGAAATAGCACATAAAGTAGCTGGACGACTGCTTCTGACTGATCCCGGACTAATTTGACAGGCTCCACGAACAGAGCTAATACCTACTCATTTGTGGTCGTCTGAAAATCCTCAAGTTATCCGGGAAAGAAACTTTTAAAATAAATTTAGTGTAAATGTTTTTTGTCTAATTAAATATAACCAAATTTCTTACCATATCTACAAAGAAAATTGAAATTCCGACAAATATCTCAATATTTTGCAAATGGTTGTGGCAGATTTTCTAGATGATATACCTTTAGACCAACTAAGGAAGTGTTGGTATCAATTAGACGGGGCTCTGCCTCATTGTCACAATCGAATTGATCAACAGCTGACTGAAATGTTTGAAGATAGATGGATGGCCTAGGACTGTGGAATTGGCCAATGAGGTGTTCCGACACCACTCCATTATATTTTTATATTTGGGGAGTAATAAAGCAAGAAGTTTATTCTACACCCGTTGCTTCAAAAGACGATTTGATTGCTTGAATACGAAGAGCGTTCCATTAATTGCCTACAGCTGAAATAGCAAAAACGGTGACATAACACCATCAGTGTTATGTCTAGAATCCACAAGTGCTTATCTGTTAATGGGGGTCATATTGAACACTTATGACTTTTCTTTTTTATCTTAGTGCATTATTATTATCAAAATACATAATTAAAATTGTGTATTACCACATATCTAACGTATTACTATGTATGAAGTTGATTTTTTAGAATTCTTCCTAACTTTATTCTGCTCATTGGTGGAAAATTGGGATATGTCTCATTAAAAACTGCAAATGTTCTGCTTAGGATCCCATTGCAACGTCTGTGAATAAATAACAGTAAATAACTGGTGACAGTTTAGTTGTTTGTTTTGAAGTTTTGCAAAAAATTCCACAGCTATCGCAAGAAATTACATGATTTTAGGTGATTACACAAAAAATAGTAGCTAACTTAAAAACTAGAAGAGATAGGTATAGGGAAGCCTGATACCGTTCGAAAGAGAATAAAATTGTGTATCAGAATATAGAAAAACATACAGGGTGTTCCATTTAAAAAAACCGACTTGTGAAGGGTTGAAGTTAACTAAACTCGGCATTAAATTTCTAGCACCCTGTATGCAATTAAGCCATTTTGAAAGTATGGATCGGAAGCTTAGGGGTCTAGCTATCCCCCTTATAAATATTGTTGCTTTATCTTTCTTACTACAAAATGCACATGGTTTGAAGCTAGGGGGTCATCTATAAATTACGTAAGGGTTCAATGGGGAGGGGGGGCTCAACATTTTCTTATCATTCCTTACTTGGGAGGGAGGAGGGGGAATGAAATTCTTACGTAATAAAATATTCTACATTAATTGGCAGTGTAGACAAATTTTCTTGAGACTATTTTTCTTAGTATATATGTATTTAATATAACAAATATATGTATTAATAAATGTTATAATTAGAAGTTGTAAAGCTTTTTTATAATAAAAAAAATTAATTAAATCATGTAATGTATTACGTAAGGTGGGGGAGGGGGGTTATGAAAAATCTTACGGTTTCTTTACATGGGGGGAGTTGAAAATGTGAAAAAATACCCTTACATAATTTATGGATGACCCCTAGTCACTGGTTCTCTCCATTGTTTCAAAAAAATTTAAATATCTCGAAAACGGTTAATTTTAGGAATAGGGAAACTTCATAAAAGTCCACCTAAAATAACATGTAGGATCCAAAATTGTAACAATATATAGGATGTTTAATCTAAAATAAACAAGTTGATGGCGACTTCTGGGATAACCGGAAGTGGTACGTGGACGCCATTATTTTAGTTGAGAAGGGCACGCCCGAAAACCCGGTATCCCAAATTTTTATAATTCAAATCGAAGTAGTCTCTGAAATAATTCTAATGGGCCGTCACCGTGAGACACCCTGTATAGAGGTGTTATTTAGAAGTGGCGGAAAGTAATGAAAAAACATTGAAAGGGAAACCCAGGCTCAAATAATATTTAAGTATTTAAAACAATTTGTATATAATAATTTTATATTTCGGGAATAAAGAACAAAAAAAAGGAAATTAATCATTATAAACGGCTTTATTGTTTTTCGAAATATTCTCCATGATGATCAATACACTTTTACATGCACTTGAATCAATTTTTGAAGCATTTTTTCCATTTCGCTTCTTCAGGCACCGAAAAGCGACCCCGTAATTTATTTTTGATGTGTGGGAATAAAAGTCATTGGGTGTCAAATCAGGGCTGTAAGGTGGATGGCTCATCAATTCGACTTTCTCAATTCTCAAAAAGTCTCTTGTTTGAGCCGACGTGTGAGAGCCCTCATTATCCTGGTGGAGAATGTTGCGCCTTCGGCGATTGGTTTCCCTTATTTTCTGACTTCTGGCAAACAAATGGTTGTGTACCATTCAGAATTGACCGTACAACATTGCACTAATGTTACCACATATCCAGTTTTTACAAAAAACTCTGTGAACCCTCAGTGACTTCTGTCCACACGTCCATCGTCTGAGGTGTTGGTAGACGAAGAGGTGGAGAGCGTCGGTGAAAGCGATCGGATTTTTTTAATATTTGCCTGGAAGAAAATGCTGGAGCTTCCAGAGTGGCGGTGGATTTTGAAAGACGTCATCACCATCATCCTGTATCTTTCGGTTAGCCGCCTTGGATGAGCTTGTGCTTGGCACCAAAGCCTCCAGATCTATGATGGTATCGATGGCCAAGCCGAGTTCATCAGATATTCTGTAAGAAAAAAACGAAAAAATAGTTTGAAAGACCCATACAGTGAACTGCTGTTTACTTTCGAGTTCATATGCATAGATCCATGATCCATGTTACAATGTTTTGAAGCACCACGATCGTAGTTCTTGAGAACAATTTTTTTTGGCGGACAAATGTTCTTGTATGCTGGTCCCATTAATGCTCAAGGATTCCTCAATCGCACGATAAGTCAACTCTCTGTAATCTATGGATAACTCACATATCAGTTCACGCCACAGACTTTGTTCACGCACCCCACAGTATCATTATTGTCTGGAACAACCGATTTTGGACGACCTCACGAAATTCATGAGTGAGTGGGACACAACCATGATTGAAATCCGTAAAATACCGATACACAGTGGTTTTTGATGATGCTTCATTGCCAAAAGTCGAATTAAGTTCATCGATGCACTGTTATTGTGCATCCGCCATCCATCCATGTTGAAAGTTGTAAAAAATATTCATACGGAAATGTTCTGGAGTTAAATCAATTTTTCACTGTAATCAGCACAAATAGCGCCTGTATGTCAAAACGTTCCGCATAAGTATACCAACAAAAAGTCAAACTTTACAACAGAGGCAATGTGTTTACCTCTTTTCTATTATTTCTGAGTAATACTTAGAAAATGATATTTTAGTTAACAAATTTTTACCTGTAGGATTACATAATTCTGCAATACAAATAAATAAAATAACTTGAAGCTTAAATATATAAGTAGGAAACAGAGAAAGAAAAAATAATGTTAGAATAAGCTTTGACAATACATATACGTACAAATATATACAGGGTGTTTAGTAAATAATGGTATCCCTTTTAATAATGATGCATTTATGTGTTCTGATTATTACAAGTCAGAAAATGGCAAAAATTCAAGATATAAAAAATACAAGTACAAGACCACAAAATATATAATAGATATAAGATTACTGAATACATTCTAAGTTCGTGGACGTAGCTACAACTTTTGGATGGGGAGGACCCAGGCCTGCAAGTTGTATGGAGGCCTCCAAAAAAAAAAGTTTGTGTAGTCACTCCGCGCCA